ATATAGGATCAGGATCCACTTCTGTTGGACCATTTCCACCGACAAAATGTAGACTACAAACGTAGCTGTCTTTCATGCACACGAACGAGTCATCTCGATGACATGACCGTATCCACCTTTGCCTTCTCTCCTTTGTCTAACTGCCCCCGGAAAACGGGAAAACTTGACCGGGTCGCCGTTAGCGTTCTTACCTAGGGGTTGAGGTATCGTGAATCGTTTTTGCAGGTGCCATAAGCACGTCTCTTTGTCGTAACCAGTATGTTTAGGTATACACTTACTAAACAACTGCAATCGTACACGTTCATAGAGTTGAAATCGGTGTTATTTTTGGGAATCAATGCTTCCTCGCGTTCTATAGCGATTCGTGGGCACTAATCTCCTGTCAGACGGGGATTTATTTGACAATCTACGCACTAAACACCCTGAAAAAACCTGATCAGATACATCATAATAAATAAATAATAATAAATTTAATACTTATATAACGCAAAATTCATTATAAGTATATGATCTAATGCGCTTTACAATAAATTAAAAAATATCTGAAGAAACCGCAGGGAATATGATAGTTAGATTACAAAAATGAAAACAAAATTATATTTAACAATTAATCTGCGAGAATCACGTCTGCACTCGAACTTATTTTCGTACCTCTTTTGAATGCCAACCCTCGGGAAAGAGCGTGCTACGGGAAAAACGTGCACCAGAAAACAAAAAGATATTATTGAAAATATTCGAAATTCTCGCTGAGCCAAATCATGTTCATGTGGCAGACGTCTTCTTCATCGTCACCGACAAGTACTTCAACCTCCTGGATTTAGGTTTGGGCCGTTAGGTGGAAGAATCTCTCACTTAGAATTAACCACTAATATTTGAATATCATATGACTTAGACCAGACATTTTTTCTGATCGACTGTATGGTTTATCATCATTTTTGTAACCTAATGTACTAAACGGAGGCGATTTTGCATCGACATCCGGCAACACGGGTGTCAAGAGGTAGACATCATAGTAAAGAGATGCCGAAAGTATCAGACTCCAGTGTTGCCCAGAATAGATACCGTCACGTTTCGCCAAATAATGTCATTGTTTGGCGACCATATCGAGATCGGATGTCATTTTAAAAGAATCTGTGCAAAACCAGTGCAAATGAAGAACTGGGCAAACACGGGTTGATACCGCTGATACGTTATCCAACAAGTGAAATACGAAGGATCAACTTTATTTTGCGCGACTATGTAAGATTCAACCGGGCACAATTTAAGACAAATTTTTATCATACTATTGATGCCAATGGTGAAAAAAGAGGTGCGGTTAGTGAAGATTTTTTAGAAACTCATTAAGAAGTTGGCTAGTCAAGGCTAAAGAAATGAAAAGTTGAACTTCATTCGATTAATCTGACATCTTTTGGAATTAAAAACCCATTATTCCCTCAGTTGACTCTAGAGGGGTGTGTAACAGGCTATTAAAAGCCTATCTCAAGTTGATCAAAATTGTAGCTATGATTCTTATTGCATCGATTGCTTACTGTAGAAGAGACACATAAAAGATAGTTTGCAACTTAGAAGGTTTCTATCATTGCTGATTAATATTGCATACAGAGTCGCCTTTTAAGACGCTGATTCTGGAATTACCACAAACAAAAAAACTGACACAATGAAAAAGTATCAACATTAGACAGATTCTGAAATGGTTCTATATATAACTTGCTTTTAAGCACGGTCATAGGCTGATCTTGGGGTCCTCTTGTTTCTAAGCACATCTGGAGGATTTCCTGGAATCAGCTGTGCAAAGTCACTTGGTCAGTAAAATTCAAAGGGATTCTTAAACACTTCAATATCCCTGATCATGTGCTAACGACCACTTTCAGATAAATGTTTTTTGTTTATTTACAGAATGAACATTGCCTTAAGAGTCATCCTAGTTCTGAGTTTGCTGTTTTTTGTGGACAGTTCATCGTCTTCACCATTGAAACAAAAAAAGACCAAAGTCCTTATCCTTGGTGCCGGACTCTCCGGAATCAGAGCAGCGAAGACGCTACTGGACAGAAACGTTACCGACATTCTGATTCTCGAGGGAGAGAACTACACGGGAGGCAGAATACATGCCTTGAAATTTGCGAACTATACGATTGAAGCGGGAGCCAACTGGATCCATTTGGTAGATGATGACGAAACCAAACCTCATGTAGAACGAAAAGACGCAAAAAATATTCGTGCAATCACTTGCAACTACTCAGACATTATTGTGAGGTAAGACGAGTCCGTATCAACAGGATCACGCTTTATACTCTTTAAAAGAAGGAAATTGAGTGTAACAGTCGCATTTTGCGCTAGTTGATAAACTCTCTTGGAATAGGGGCCATCCATTAAATATCGCATATCGTCATTTGTTCTATAGAAACTTTCTTTTTCAATATAATTTTGCAGGGACGATAAAGGCAAAGATATCACTGATTTTGCAGTTCTCAAGGAGTTTAATGATAAAGTGGAGCACAAAATTGAAGATTACCAAAATGAGAGGAGGCTAAATAAACTTTCTGACATGCCAGCGCGTGTTGGTTTTCAGCTGATGGGATGGAAAGGAAAACGACCCATAGAAAGAGCCATTGAATATCTGAATGTGGATTTTGAGTACGCCAAACCACCAGAAGAGTTTTCTTTCTACAATTTGTTTGAGCGTGGAAAGGATTTTTTCGTTACTGACGAGCGCGGATTGTGGACGTTGTATGAAGACCTCTACAAGCCACTAGAAAAGAAAACTTTATTGAACAAAACTGTCACAAAAATCAAGCTCAACCCGGATTCGGTTGAAGCTCAGACCTCCGATGGTTGGAGTTACCAGGCAGATTACGCTCTTTGTACATTCAGCTCCGGAGTTCTGGCCAGCGACTTGGTTACTTTCGAGCCAGCCCTTCCTGATTGGAAAAAAGAGGCCATTTATAAAAACCCATTATCGCTATACACGAAAATTTACCTGAAATTTCCAAAAAAGTTCTGGGATGATCACGAATATATTCTGTACGCTTCCAAAGAGCGCGGACGTTTCCCTGTGTGGCAGGACCTGTCAAGACCTGGGATTTATCCCGTTGCGAGTGGGATGTTACTGATCACTGTAACAGGGGCTCAAGGACGAAGGATTGAGGGACAACTATTTAATGAAACAAAGGCAGAGATCATGGGAATGTTGAGAGAGATCTACGGGAATGGCATCCCTGAAGCGACAGGTGAAGGGGCATAGTTCAGCTTTGCAGGGTTCTTTTTAACTAAAAATCAACATATCATATCGTTCATTCTAAAATTGGTCAAAAGAAAACATCGTCAAGTGGAGAGATAAATTAGCTATAGTTTCCGTTCATTTTTTTCTCTTCTTTTGTCGGTAATTATCCCTACAGAAATAAAAATACAATTAAGACAAGTTGTGGCCTTAAAAACCTTGATTATTACCAAACCAGACTCAAAAAAAGTAATAAAAGACGAACCAATCGGAACGCCACCCAAAAAGACTGAGTTCTGGCTAGTTTTATTCACTGCACAAAGATCTTCACCATCAGAGTCTGCAGGTCTCCCACATCACGATGCAAGTACTCTCTTTAACATAATTATTAAATATTTTCTTCAGATATTTATTATCGCCGTTGGTCAAAGGAGCCGCTGACGCAAGGCGCATATTCAGAGCCAGTGGTGGGTATGACTTCTGAAGACTGGAAGAACATTGGAAAAAACCTGGGGCGACTGTACTTTGCTGGCGAGGCGACGAGCAAAGAGTGGTACGGCTACATGCAGGGTGCTTACTTGACCGGCGACGAGAAAGGGAACATGATTGCCGAGAAAATCTCTCCAAGTGAATCTTCCAGCAAACCGGGAAAACCAAAGAGTGAGGCAACCCCCGCCAAAGTGTCTTCAGCAGGAATCTTATTGTTCCCTTTTTGGTTAATAACCGTGTGGAAGTAAACAATTCATCAAGCCAGCAAGAGATTTGTTATTGACCCTGATAACCCTAGAGCAACCCTTACTGACTGATAGAGTGACATAACTGTAACTTTGATGAAACGTTCGTGTTGCGTAGAGAACCCTCTAGATGTAATAGTGTACTCTGTAGGAGAATTTGTCAGCTTTCGCCTGGTATATAGATAGATAGCCTTTGACTAAAGTTACTTGCCCACGAGGGCAAGGTGCAGTAAAATTCGAAAGTAATTAAGCAGACTTTGAATAAATATTACTTCTTTTTTGCTGTTCGTCCCTGTAATTATCACCTGCAGATAGTCCTGTGCAAGTACTAACTGCTTTCGGCTAGATTTATAAACCACGAGTTCACTTTCACTCAGCTTGTGATTGTGTTACTAAACAAAAAAATGCTATGTTGCTGTGCTTCTGTTCAGTGAAGAATCCCACATGACGTAAACATATCGCAAGAACAGAAAAGTAGTAAACGATGGGCAGGCGAGAGTGTCAGTGATGTTCTTAAAAAAAAAAAAAAAAAAAAAAAAAAAAAAAGCGCATGAACATTACTGGCATTAAATCTCAATGTATGCGATGGAAGGGAAAACACACCAAAACCCTGACTAAACCAGAGGTGAAAAAATCTTGAGTGATTTTTTGCCATAATAAAGATTTGAATTTGCGACAAAACTCCACTTCAGAATTATCTCTAAAAATCCTGGACTTAGAACTTTCACCTCCTCACTTGTCACAGAATGGGTGATCTCTCTTCTTTTGAATTGAAATCCGTTGAAAACTGACTCCTCAGCACATAAAATAAGAACGCACGTGTATCAATCTAACTTTGACATTCTTTGATTTAAAGGAAATCTGTACTCGAGTTTCACCTTACTCACATTTTCACACAGAGAAAAGAAAAAGAAAATCTGCAAACTCTCAAAAATAGAATTAGTCATGAAGCAGACGTCATTTGTCTCTAAACAGAAGAAAATGTAAACATAGCTTTCTCTGGAATCAGTTGGTTACCGTAAAAAAAGTTAAACGAATCTTGTACTTATATTTTTCGCACAGCCGACCTATAGCTGAGATATAAGTAAAAATAGAATATAATCAGTAAACTGCACCGGGAACCTTAGTTAAAATTGCAACCAAACTAACCTACGCCAGGCTGTTTTCTGCACATGATGAGATCTGGATAATGCTTCGCCATCTTGGATTAATTTCCCATCATTCGTTGCAGAACAAAAACGTTAATCAGACGTTCTCATGCCAAGTCCCCTCGGTCAATATTGCGCACGGTTCGAAAGCCTTCAGGAGGAAGTCGTTTTGAGTCGACTTCGTTTTGTAAGAACAAACGGAATGATCAAGGCGTTTGCTATTTTTTTGGTGTGTATAACTCGTATTTATTTATTTCGTTCTTTCCTTTTTTTCATAACAACACGTTAGCGTTTTTTCTTCGTCAGTTACACCTTTTAGCACGGTTCTCATCCCGCACGTTATTTCGTAGTCCTCTTGTATTTAAAGCCAGTTTCTTTTGCACATAATCACTTTTCAAGTCAGTTTACCCACAGTCGCGCTTTGCGATTTTGCAGTACATATTAGGCGTTATCAATGTAAGTACTTTTCCGTTCCGCTTCGTTTACATTAATTTTTTTTTGTAGTTTGTTAACTTAATTAGTTAACTTAACTTATTTATGTGTTTAGTTTCAACCGACCACTACTACTGCAATCTAATAAACAGTATTATTTCGAGTTGGAAAGATAAATTTTTTTGTTGTTACTCGGAATGTTATAATGTACGAAAACATTTCCTGTTTAACTTGTCTCTGTGCGCGCGCATGGTGTAATAGCTCATAACCCATAATGCCTAAGCCAATGAAAACTCTTAGATTGCATTATCTAATGATCCAGTTTTTGATATTAACTAATTATTTATTAGCCGTTAAAGCCATCATCCCATTTAGACTCTCCAGGAGATCTATCATTAGTATGTCTGATCGGAAAAGGAGGCCCAGGCCTCCCAAAGTTCCAGACCTACCGGCCCTCCTATTGTCTATTGTTATTAATCCCCTCATTGGACGCCTGGACACAAAGACGTTAAAAGGCGCCCTATTTGCAAAATAAAGACTCTAAGTTGCTCTGTATATTGGCTTCTTTTGGGAAGGTTACAGCAAGCACCAGTAACTGATCAAAAACGAACGCATTTTCGGATTTTTCTTCTCTTAAGCAAAGGTCAGTATCCAACGGTTGTTTAGAGGCAGCTATGAGCAACATACTACACAAGTTGAATAATTTTATCAATAGCTTGGTTTACAATTTGACAATGAAACCGAACTTTTCAGGGCTGTAGATTGAATGGTGATCAAGTTTTTATTAACGGGACTAATGAAATAAGCGCCGTAAATTTAGTGCCGCTCGGAAGTATATGAAAGATAACCTTGCTAGATCATTACAATTCACGCAAAACTACAAGAGCATTTTTTCGGCCGCTTATGCAACATAGGTGCGGCCTAAACATGAGGTAGACATGATTATGCAACCGAACCAATGAAAACGAACACATTTTTGCATTTTTCGCCTCTCAACCCAACCCGTTATTAACGGGACTAATGAAATTAGCGCCGTAAATTTAGTGCCGCTCGGAAGTATGTGAAAGATAACCTTGCTAGATCATTACAATTTATGCAAAACTACAAAAGCATTCTTTCGGCCGCTTATGCAACATAAGTGCGGCCTAAACATGAGGTAGACATGACTATGCAACCGAACCAACGAAAACGAACACATTTTTGCATTTTTCGCCTCTCAACCCAACCCGTTATTAACGGGACTAACGAAATTAGCGCCGTAAATTTAGTGCCGCTCGGAAGTATATGAAAGATAACCTTGCTAGATCTTTACAATTCACGCAAAACTACAAAGGCATTTTTTCGGCCGCTTATGCAACATAGGTGCGACCTAAACATGAGGTAGACATGATTATGCAACCGAACCAATGAAAACGAACACATTTTTGCATTTTTCGCCTCTCAACCCAACCCGTTATTAACGGGACTAACGAAATTAGCGCCGTAAATTTAGTGCCGCTCGGAAGTATATGAAAGATAACCTTGCTAGATCTTTACAATTCACGCAAAACTACAAAGGCATTTTTTCGGCCGCTTATGCAACATAGGTGCGACCTAAACATGAGGTAGACATGATTATGCAACCGAACCAATGAAAACGAACACATTTTTGCATTTTTCGCCTCTCAACCCAACCCGTTATTAACGGGACTAATGAAATTAGCGCCGTAAATATAGTGCCGCTCGGAAGTATGTGAAAGATAACCTTGCTAGATCATTACAATTTATGCAAAACTACAAAAGCATTCTTTCGGCCGCTTATGCAACATAAGTGCGGCCTAAACATGAGGTAGACATGATTATGCCGCCAAACCAACGAAAACGAACATATTTTTGCATTTTTCGCCTCTCTCATGTGCAGTTCAAAAGTTAAAGATCGAGAGAAGTGAATCTTGTGTAATCGTGTTTAAACATGATTCCACATGATTGCACAACTTACCAAAAGCGAGAGCATTTTTGCTTTTTTACCTCTTAAAGCAAAGCTCTCTCGCAATACAGGTGTGGTTAAAGGTTCAAGATCAGGTGAAGTTTGACACGAATAGTGAAAAAGGTCATGGACCGGTCAGCGATGATGCCACCGGACAAAATCAATCTATACAAAAAGAGCCGAAGCTCATTTAGAGATTTACTAAGAGAGTGGTCAATTTCGAGGTGCATTCGAGCCTTAGATCGTGTTCACTGGTGCTCTTTCATGCGGCAAGAACGCATAGTAACACAGACGCTGAGATATAGTATCAAAAGTTTTGACTTCAGGGAGTTACGATATCGTAAACATAGTAGAAAGTTAACTTTGCTGTGTTGTTATGGAGCCGAAAATTAGAAGACCGCAAATGGATATGAGAATATGCTTTAATGAGAAGGGGAGTAAACAGGGAGCCAGCCAGTGTCTATGTGAAATCTATTGTCATATCGTATGAGCTTGGTTACCTATAGTTGAGCAGATTAAGGGCTAATCCCACAATTGTCAGATGTTTTATTCAGTCCCCTTTGATGAAATTAATTGATACTGATCATTAATGGTCAATGCGTTTTCTAGTTGCAGAAGTGTGGGAATCCTTGATTTAAAAAGAGCCGCCAGTAATCTGAAAATTGCAAAAAAGAAGCAAAAATACTTAAATTAGGCTTTAGTAAGAAAATGAGCGCTTAAAAACGGCGAAAATAAGAATTTTTTTGCCTGTGGCGAAAACACTCTTGGGATTAGAATGCTTTTGTGGAATCATTGTCATTAAAGAAGGTGCTGTGAAAACGAGGGCGCTAATTGCTGCTGAAGCATAAATCCGAACTTCTCGTTCTCATAGTTAACAACGATGTCACGATAGAGCAGTGTACTTCGGTTTTTACACAGAAGATGTTAAAGTCTCCGACCTCTTCAATCTTAGCCGGTTGAGCGGTTCTATTGAATAACTTTGAGCCTGGGTTCGAAGGGGCACTAACTAGAACTTGCATGGAGGGGTGGGGTAAAACACGTCAACTCTGGTTGGAGTCTTCACTTTCGATGAGGCTCTCTTACTTTCCACCTCTTAGATCTACTTGGAACTTTCAACTACCCTTCCCCCTCAAGGAGAAACGTTTCTCCTGGGGGGGGAGGGGTGTACGGCCTATCGCTTCACGTAGGCTGTACCCAATATTTATGGGGTATACTTCAAAAGAGTATCAGATTTTTTTACAGAAATGTCCAGAATATAATTCACTTTGTAAGCAAAATAAAGCACCAAATAGACAACACTTAAGCAACCTCGTGACACAGAGAAATACATGTTACATTTTTCCCGGAATTTTGATGAGAGGATGTTTCTCCAGTTTAATAATCTTCAGAAGCTAGTTATCCACTTCTGATTATTAGTTTCTTTGTTCATCCACAGAATGTACATCATGTTTAAGATCATCCTGCTGGTGAGTTTTCTGTTTCTGGTGGACAGATCTTTGTCTTCACCAATAAAACAAAACAAAACTAAAGTCCTTATCCTTGGTGCCGGACTTTCTGGAATTAAAGCAGCCAAGACGCTACTGGACAGAAACATCACCGACATTCTAATTCTTGAGGGAAAGAATTACACTGGGGGTAGAATACATGCCATCGAGTTTGCAAACCACTCAATTGAAACAGGAGCGAACTGGATTCATTTCGTAAATGACGGAGAAACCAAACCTATCGTGGATCGAAGGGACGCAAAAAAAATGCAAGGTCTTACCTCTAATTACTCAGATATATTAGTGAGGTAAGACGCTACAAGGCCACTTGGGATAAGTGGAGATGTGCATAGCTAGATTTCTTTGAAAGGGCTTATACACAGGAAGAGTACAAACCTCTTGTGAGGTCTCTGGACACCTCTTCCCCTTCCTCTAATAACTCGTAGCCGGTAAAAGTCCGAAATGTGTGGCGGCTTTTAAAAATTGCAAGTAGCACAGTTTCCATATGTTTACCGTCCAGGTAAACATGAACAAACTACGATACATTTATTTAATTAGCTTCAGCTATTTTAAATTTGAAAGAGCTGAAAACAACTCACTTCTTCACGACCACACCCCTTTCAAGTCTCCGTAGACCGTTCCATCAAATTATCTTTTAGTCCATTTCCCTTAAATTCGTTTCCAGGGCTACTCGTAATTTTTTTTTTCTCAGAAAGCGACTTTAAAATCGAGTGGGAACAAGAATGCTGGACATCAGGTCTCGGTTGTTCTAAGGGCGGATAACGCTATCCACAAGACCAGATAAATCCGATGGATTATGGAGCACGTTATGTGAAAACCCTTTGATGAACTGGGTGCATGTTGAAAATCATCGGTTAACACAAATAAAGTCTGGTTAACTCGTAACATGTTAGCAACATAGTAGGTGACGACTAATTCATTTTGCCTCAGGTTTCCGTGGAATCGAATGGACACCTCTTTCCCTCATCCTAAATCAAGGGCTTACTGATTTTTATCGAGGGAAACTGAATTCGAATATCCATTTTGAGATGAGTATCCCTCCAAGGTACGCCAACAAAACGTTTAAAAGTTGTTGCTCTTGCAAACCTACAACTGTTTTTATTTTTTGTAGGGACGAAGCAGGAAACGATATCACTGATTTTGCAGTTCTGCGTGAGTTTTATGATAAAATCGAGCACAAAATTGAAGATTACAAACTAAAAAGGAAGGGCCAGCCAGACTTCCCTGCCCGTGTTGGTATGCAGATGATGGGATGGTCAGCTGAACAACCCATAAAAAGCGTTATTGAATATTTCAACTTCGATTTCGAGTTTGCGAGGCCTCCAGAAGTGGTTTCCTTTCACAAAATGTTTGAGCGCGGAGAAGACTTTTTCATCGCTGATGGGCGAGGAGTATGGTCCATGTACGAAGATCTTTACAAGCCATTGGAAGCGAAGACTTTGCTGGGCAAATTAGTCAAAAAGATCAAGTATAATGCCGATTCCGTTGAAGTACAAACCTCCGATGGATGGAGTTACCAGGCAGATTATGCCCTTTGTACATTTAGCTCCGGAGTTCTGGCCAGCGACTTGGTTACTTTCGAGCCAGCCCTTCCTGATTGGAAAAAAGAAGCCATTTATAAAAACCCAATGTCGCCTTACACAAAAATTTTTCTAAAATTTCCAAAAAAGTTCTGGGATGATCACGAATATATCCTTTTCGCTTCCAAAGAGCGCGGACGTTTCCCTGTGTGGCAAGACCTGTCAAGACCTGGGATCTTTCCCGTTTCGAGTGGAATGTTGCTGATCACTGTGACAGGGGCTCAAGGACGAAGGATTGAGGGGCAATCATTTAATGAAACAAAGGCAGAGATCATGGGAATGTTGAGAGAGATCTACGGGAATGGCATCCCTGAAGCAACAGGTGAATGACCATAGTTCAGCTCTGCAGGGTTCCTTTTAACCACAAATCAACATATCATATTGTTCATTCTGAACTTAGTCGAAAGAAATATCGTCAGGTGGAGAGATAAATTCGTGATAGTTTCAATAAATGTTTGTTTCCTCCTTTGCCGGTAATTATTCCTACAGAAAGCAATACAATTAAGACACGAAATTGTGGGCTTGTAAAAACTTGATTATTACTAAACTAGACTCAAAACAAGTAAACAAAACAAAAGACGAACCAATCGGAATGCCACCCAAAAAGACTGAGTTCTGGCTAGTCTTATTCACTGCACAAAGATATTTACCATTAGAGTCTGTGGGTCTCGCACATCATGATGCAAGTACTCCCTTTGACATAACTATTGTATATTTTCTTCAGATATCTATTATCGGCGTTGGTCAAAGGACCCACTGACGCAAGGTGCATATGCAGAACCTGTGGTGGGTATGACTTCTGAAGACTGGGAGAACATTGGAAAAAACCTGGGTCGTCTGTACTTTGCTGGCGAAGCGACGAGCGAAGACTGGTACGGCTATATGCAAGGTGCTTACTGGACCGGTGACAAGAAAGGGAACATGATCGCTGAGAATATCTCTTCAAGTGAATCTTCCAGAAAACCGGGAAACCCAAAGAGTGAGGCAACCCCCACCAAAGTGTCGTTAGTAGGAATATTGTTGCTCCCTCTTTGGTTTATAATCGTGTGGAAGTAAAACAATTCATCAAGCCGGCAAGAGATTTGTTATTAGCCCTGATAGCCCTGATAGCCCTGGAACAGCCCTTACTGACTGATAGAGTAGCAAAACTGTAACTTTGATGAAACATTTGGGTTGCATATAGGACCCTCTAGATGTAGGAGCGTACTATGTAGGAGAATTTGTCAGCTTTCGCCTGGTATATAGATAGATAGCCTTTGACTAAATTTACTTGCCCACGAGGGAAAGGTGCCGTAAAAATTCGAAAGTAATTAAGCAGACTGAATAGAGAATACTTCTTTTTTGTGGTTCGCCCCTGTAATTATTATCTGCAGATAGTCCTGCGCAAGTACTAACTGCTCTCGGCTATATGTATTAATCACGAGTTCACTTTCACTCAGCTTGTGATTATGCTACTGAACAAACGTTTGTACTTTGCTGGCGAAGCGACGAGCGAAGACTGGTACGGCTATATGCAAGGTGCTTACTGGACCGGTGACGAGAAAGGGAACATGATCGCTGAGAACATCTCTCTAAGTGAATCTTCCACAAAACCGGGAAAACCAAAAAATGATGCAACCTCCGTCAAAGTGTCTTCAGTAGAAATCTTGTTACTTCCTCTTTGGTATGTAATCGTGTGGAAGTAAACAATTCATCAAGCGGGCAAGAGATTTGTTATTAGCCCTGATAGCCCTAGAGCAGCCCTTACTGACTGATAGAGTGACATAACTGTAACTTTGATGAAACGTTCGTGTTGCGTAGAGAACCTACTAGATGTAATAGTGTACTCTGTAGGAGCATTTGTTAGCTTTTGCCTGGTATACATAGATGGCCTTTGACTAAAGTTACTAACCTAGGAGGGCAAGGTGCAGTAAAATTCGAGAGTAACTAAGTAGACTTTAAAGTAGAATATAAGTAAACGCCTTTTGCAATTCCATCACACAGTTTCATTTTATAAAATCCTTCCTATTAAAAAGCCTGTGATAGATATATTCCTGCGTCTTGAAGACGAAGTTCTCTCGAGGCTCACCGTTTTCTTCTCGGTAAACCATTCGCCTCTCAAAACAAATAATGTCGTGGATAAATATCCGAGAACATTTTTTAACCAAATGGAGACTGAAACGCAAATTATATTGCGATTTTCCTCTCTTTGCTCGCGTAATTTTTCATCCGCGACAATTTACCCGTGACGCCGGACCCACCAAAGTAACGCTCTCCTAAACATTAAACATGCTAAGTTTTGCACATACCTCGATGAGTGTTTTACGTAATTTGCATAATTTCCAGATATGATCTGCTTGAAAACGTGGCAAACTTTGAGAAGAAAATTTGGAGGATGGAGATACAGCAAACGAAAGTAAGTAAATTGTGCTTTACCCTTACGTAAAACTATCTTCTTCTGAAAGAATTAAAAAGCATGTACAGATTTATATGCAGAAGATTTTGGGATGGTTGTGCTGTTATGCGCTTAAAAACATCAAAGCGTGGATTAACAAACACTTAAGCGTCTGGGCGCATGAAATCTCGTTGCCTCATTGAGTTATAAATGAGAAGCTAAGTCGACAAATGTGGCTGGCTTAGGGGGAACTCGAAGTCTTCTAGGGTGATATGATGTAGTATAAATCAAATTGAGGTCAACCAACAAAACATGTTTTGATTATAAATACACATTAGGTCTGTCAGTTCGTCCAGTGGAAAACTCAGGTGCTGAATCAAACTCGCTACGGATGAGACCATTGTGAGTAAGGCGCAAAAATAGTTGAAACATTAACACAAACATGCTATTTTCATGTTCTTAAGTTCACGACAGAAAAATTATCTCGGCTAAGGTCGGCGTTCTTGATGGATTAGTAAGAGCGAATGTGTTGAAATCAATACTTTTGGGATATGTGCACTTTAAACCTATAAAAAGATTTAGAGGAAGTTTCTGATGGAGTTACAGATCAGCCTTACATCCACTTTTCATGAGTTTTATATCAGCTGTTTATCGAAGTTTGTGTAAATCTAGAACAGTTTATGCAAAAGCCAACGGATTTTGGGATGGTTGCGCCGTTATGCTTTTAAAAACTTCAAAGCGTAGATTAACAAACTTTTAAGAGCCTGGGTGTGCGAAATCTTATTGATCACAGACTTCTAAATGAGAAGCTAATTCGACATGTGTGGCTGGTTTAGGGGAACTCAAAGTCCTCTTAGGTGAGTGATGTTCTGGAGGAAATCAAATTGACGTCAATAAGTGACCACCTACAAAATATGTCTGCATTAGAAATACACATAACGTCGGTCAGTTCGTTTAGTAAAAAACTCAGGTGATGAAGGAAACCCGCTACGGATGAGACTATAGTGAGTAAGGTGGAAAAATGGTTGAAGCATTAACACAAACATGCTATTTTCATATTCTTAAGCTTACGACAGAAAAACTATCACGATCAGATCACGTAAAGGTCGGCGTCTCAGGTGGATCAGAAATGAATGTATAGAAATCAATACTTTTGGGGTATTGCACTTTTGACCTATAAAAGATGCGAAGGAAGTTTCTGACGGAGTTACAGATCAGCCTTACTTCCATTTTTCATGAGTTTCACATTAGCTGTGAATCGAAGTTTGCGAAAATCCAGAACGGTTAAAAATACATTTGCATTTGCTATGGTTTCGGTTCTTTACGCATGGAGTACTCCTTCGCCCCATCACACTCGAGAGAGCCGCTTCGAGCCACCACGCTAAAGAGAGCTTTTCGAAGAGCTTCAACCTCATGGCAATGAAAAAATGACTCACCAAAAACTGATCATCTCCAGTGGGCGAAATTTGGTGTGCGATATAAGACTTGTCCTCCACATCATGCTCCGGGAATCCCGGAGTTTCATTTTTTTTCTCACGGTCTGTCAGGAGTGGAAATATTTTACCATTAGGACTCTCAACATTGTAACCCAATTAAGTTTTGGCTTCTGCGCAGGACGCCATTGTCAGGGATGGAGCAGGCATAAATTATTCGCTGCGACTAAATGCCCTGCAGCCGGGCACGGTCTCAGTTAGACTAAATGGCCAGCAGTCAGAAATTGTCACAGAATTTCCACCGAAACGTTCTTTCAAAAGATTCCAAAAATTAGTTTTCTTTTTTGATTAGCCAAATTCTCCGAGCTTGTGCATACTACAAAACCTCTCAGTTGACGACACTACGCCTCTGATCAAGCTGCCGGGCTCGGCCTTGAATAGACTAAACTGCCGGCAGTCAGAAATTTTAATCAAAATGCCACTGAAAAGGTTCTTTCAAACTTCGAAAGAGTATCATGTTTTTGTATAGAAATGTCCAGAATATAATCGACATACTTTGCAAGCAAATTAAAGCACCAAATAGAGAACGCTTAAGCAACCTCGTGACGCAGAGAAAATACATTACTTTCATTTCTTTCATTTTCTACATTTCTTTCCGGAATTGTGATAAGAGGATATTTCTCCAGTTTAATAATCCTCAGAAGCTAGTTATCCTCTTCTGATCATTAGTTTCTTTGTTCATTTACAGAGTGTTCATCATGTGTATGATCATATGCATAATCCTGTTTGTGGGGTTTCTGTTTCGGTCTTCACCAATAAAACAAAAGAAAACTAAAGTCCTTATCCTTGGTGCCGGACTTGCTGGAATTAAGGCAGCGAAGACGTTACTGGACAGAGATATCACCGACATTCTGATTCTTGAGGGAAAGAATTACACTGGGGGTCGAATAAATGTCACCGAGTTTGCGAACTACCCGATTGAAACGGGAGCGAACTGGATTCATTTCGTAAATGACAACGGAACCAAACCTATCGTGGAACGAAGGAACGCAATAAAAATGCAAGGTCTTACCTCTAATTACTCAGACATATTGGTGAGGTAAGACGCTACAAGGCCAGTTGGGATAATTGGAAATGTGCATAGCTAGATTTTTTTGAGAGGGCTTATACACACGAGGAGTACAAACCTCTTGGGAGGTCTCTGGGCGCCTCTTCCCATTCCTCTGGTAACTCACGCCTCATACAGCAGGAAAAAGTCTGACTTGTATGCTGGCTTTTAAAAATTGCGAGTAGCACAATTTCAATATGTTTACCGTACAGGTGAACATGAACAATCTACGATTGCATTTATTTTATTTGTTTCAGCTATTTTAAATTTGAAAGAGCTGAAAACAACGTCCTTCTTCACATCCACACCCCTGTCAAGTCTCCATAGACCGTACCATCAAATTATCCTTTAGTCCATTTCCCTTAATTTCGTTTCCAGGACTACTCTTGTTACAATTAATTTTTTTTTTCAGAAAGCGACTTTAAAATCGAGTGATCTGGAAACAAGAATGCTGGACATCAGGTCCCGGTTTTTCTAAGGGCGGATGACGCTATCCACGAGAACAGATAAATCCGATGGATTATGTAGCACGTTTCGTTAAAACCTTTCCGCTCGAAATCGTGTTCCACCCTTTGATAAACTGGGTCCAAGTTGAAAACCTTCGGTGAAGACAAATAAATCTGGCTAACCCGTAACATGTTAGCAAAATATAGCATTCAGATGAAGACTAATTCATTTTGCCTCGGGTTTCCGTATAATTGAATGAACACCCCTTTCCCTCATCCTAAATCAAGGGGTTTAATTTTTATTGAGGGAAAACTGATCTCGTGTCCATTTTGAGATGTGTATCCCTCCAAGGCACGCCAACGAAACGTTCAAAAGTTGTTGGTATTCCAAACCTACAACTGTCTTCATTTTTTGCAGGGACGAAGCAGGAAACGATATCACTAATTTTACAGTTCTGCGTGAGTTTTATGATAAAATCGAGCACAAAATTGAAGACTACAAAGTAAAATGGGAGGGCCAGCCAGACTTCTCCGCCCGTGTTGGTTTGCAGAGGATGGGATGGTCAGCTGAACAACCCATAAAAAGAGTAATTGAATATTTCAACTTCGATTTCGAATTTGCGAGGTCTCCAGAAGAGGTTTCCTTTCACAACATGTTTGAGCGCGGAGAAGACTTTTTCATCGCTGATGGGCGAGGAGTATGGTCCATGTACGAAGATCTTTACAAGCCATTGGGAGCGAAGACTTTGCTGGGCAAATTAGTCACAAAGATCAAGTATAATGCGGATTCCGTTGAAGTACAAACCTCCGATGGATGGAGTTACCAGGCAGATTATGCCCTTTGTACATTTAGCTCCGGAGTTCTGGCCAGCGACTTGGTTACTTTCGAGCCAGCCCTTCCAGATTGGAAAAAAGAGGCCATTTATAAAAACCCGATGTCGCCTTACACAAAAATTTTTCTAAAATTTCCACAAAAGTTCTGGGATGATCACGAATATATTCTGTACGCTTCCAAAGAGCGCGGGCGTTTCCCCGTGTGGCAGGACCTGTCAAGACCTGGGATCTTTCCCGTTTCGAGTGGAATGTTGCTGATCACTGTGACAGGGGCTCAAGGACGAAGGATTGAGGGGCAATCATTTAATGAAACAAAGGCAGAGATCATGGGAATGTTGAGAGAGATCTACGGGAATGGCATCCCTGAAGCAACAGGTGAATGACCATAGTTCAGCTTTGCAGGGTTCCTTTTAACCACAAATCAACATATTATATTGTTCATTCTGAACTTAGTCGAAAGAAATATCGTCAGGTGGAGAGATAAATTCGTGATAGTTTCAATAAATGTTTGTTTCCTCCTTTGCCGGTAATTATTCCTACAGAAAGCAATACAATTAAGACACGAAATTGTGGGCTTTTAAAAACTTGATTATTACTAAACTAGACTCAAAACAAGTAAACAAAACAAAAGACGAACCAATCGGAATGCCACCCAAAAAGACTGAGTTCTGGCTAGTCTTATTCACTGCACAAAGATATTTACCATTAGAGTCTGTGGGTCTCGCACATCATGATGCAAGTACTCTCTTTGACATAACTATTGTATATTTTCTTCAGATATCTATTATCGGCGTTGGTCAAAGGAGCCACTGACGCAAGGTGCATATGCAGAACCTGTGGTGGGTATGACTTCTGAAGACTGGGAGAACATTGGAAAAAACCTGGGACGTCTGTACTTTGCTGGCGAAGCGACGAGCGAAGACTGGTACGGCTATATGCAAGGTGCTTACTGGACCGGTGACAAGAAAGGGAACATGATCGCTGAGAATATCTCTTCAAGTGAATCTTCCAGAAAACCGGGAGACCCAAACAGTGAGGCAACCCCCACCAAAGTGTCGTCAGTAGGAATATTGTTGCTCCCTCTTTGCCTTATAATCGTGTGGAAGTAAATAATTCATCAAGCCGGCAAGAGATTTGTTATTAGCCGTGATAGCCCTGGAGCAGCCCTTACTGGCTGATAGAGTGGCAAAACTGTAACTTTGATGAAACATTTGTGTTGCATATAGGACCCTCTAGATGTAGGAATGTTCTATGTAGGAGAATTTGTCAGCTTTCGCCTGGTATATATAGATGGCCTTTGATTAAATTTACTTGCCCACGAGGGTAAGGTGCAGTAAAATTCGAAAGTAATTAAGCAGGCTTTGAATAGAGAATACTTCTTTTTTGTTGTTCGCCCCTGTACTTATTATCTGCAGATAGTCCTGTGCAAGTACTAACTGCTCTCGGCTATATGTATTAATCACGAGTTCACTTTCACTTAGCTTTTGATTATGTTACTAAACAAAGAGATTCTATGTTGCTGTACTTCTGTTCAGTGAAGAATCCCACATGACGTCAACATATGGCAAGAACAGAAAAGTAGTAGACGATGGACAGGGGGGGGGGGGGGTGTGTCATTGAGGCTCTTATCACATTTGACCTTATCCGTGATCTGTTACTGAACAGGCCCACGGCAACACAGAATCTATTTGTTTATTATATGATAAAAAAGTAAAAATGTCGTTAATGTAAACTTCACCTATGCGTCTGTCCAGCAATAGATCATCGGTAAGAACCATTCGAGATGTGTGTGTAATTCAGGTTGTCAGAAATGTAGAATAATAAACGCCTTTTCCTATTCCATCACACAGGTTCATTTTACAAAATCCATCCTATTAAAAAGTATGTGATAAACTAAGGGCTTAGCCAGGTTTTTTCAAAGTGAGGTGGAGGGGGGTCACATTGTGTCAAACAGAGGGTACTCGGGGGAAGTACGTCAAACTCGAAGAAAAAGTTCTCTCCAGGCTCGCCGTTTTCTTCTCGGTAAACTATTTCACTTCGTTAAATATTTTCGCGCCAAATGGAAGCTAAAATGCGAATTATATCGCGATTTTCCTCTTTTTTACTAACGCCATTTTTCGCCCGCGACAATTTGCCCGTCACGCCGGACCTACCAAAATAACGCTCTCCTAAACCTTAAACATGCTAAGTTTTGCATATACCTCGACAGGTGTTTCTTTTTTTTAAATTTATTTTAATTTTTTTATATTTTTTCTCTGCAATACATATATATCTATACAATACATATATTACAATGCAATTACACCAGTCAAATTGAATTACAGTTGATCTATTTATTTTCACCTCGACAAGTGTTTCACGTAATTTGCATAATTTCCAGAAGGATCTGCATCAACACATCGCAAACTTAGAGAAGAAACTTTGAAAGATCGTGACGCGACAAACTAAAGTAAGTAAATTGTGCTTTACTCCTACTTAAATCTCTCGTCTCCTGAAAGAATTGAAATACTTATAAAGATTCATATGCAAAAGCTTACGGATTTTGGAATGGTTGTGCTGTTATGCTGTTTTGTTCTTAAGCTTACGACAGAAAAATTATCTCGATCAGCTCAAGTAAAGGTCGGCGTCTCTGGTGGATCAGAAATGAACGTATAGAGATCAATAATTTTGAGGTATATGCGCTTTTAATCTATAAAATGTAGAGGAAGTTTCTGATGGAGTTACAGATCAGCCTTACTTCCACTTTTCAGGAGTTTGATATTAACTGTTTTATCGAAGTTTGTGAAATTCAGAACAGTTAAAAAAAATTAGCATTTGTTATGGTTTCGGTACTCATTCGCCCCATCACGCTTGAGAGAACTTTTCGAAAAGTTTTAATTAACAAATAAAGAATCCTTGACTGTGCTCTTTTCTATTGAAGCACGCAGGAAGCGGCTAGAGCACGAAAGAAGTGTAGGGAGAAACACGAGACGTAGTCTTCTTGAGTGCTCAAGTGCTTTACAACAGAACAGAGCACAGTCAAGGCTTCTCTGTTTGTTTTATAACAAAGAATCCGTTAAATTCCCCAAGCATTACTTTCAATTTTCAAAACAAACTTTATTTCCGAAGCGAACAACAGCTACAACACCGCTCAGTTGACAACACTACGCCTCTGATCAAACTGCCGGGCTCAGTCATAAATAAACTAAATTCCCGACATTCAGAAAAAAATGTCACTGAAAAGTTCTTTTAAACTTCGAAAGAGTATCAGATTTTTGTGTAGAAATGTCCAGAATATAATTAACATACGTTGTATGAATAATTTAAGCACCATATAGACAACGCTCAAACAACCTCGTGACGCAGACAAAATACATGCCACATTTTTTTCAGGAATTGAGATAAGGGAATGTTTCTTTAGTTTAATAATGCTCAGAAGCTAGTTATCCTTTTCTGATCATTAGTTTCTTTGCTGATCAACAGAATGTACATCATGTTTAAGGTCATCCTGCATCTGAGTTTTCTGTTTCTGGTGGACAGATCTTTGTCTTCACCAATAAAACAAAACAAAACTAAAGTTCTTATCCTTGGCGCCGGACTCGCTGGAATTAAAGCGGCGAAAACACTACTGGACAGGAACATCACCGACATTCTGATTCTTGAGGGAAAGAATTACACTGGGGGTAGAATACATGCCATCGAGTTTGCAAACCACTCGATTGAAACGGGAGCGAACTGGATTCATTTCGTAAATGAAGACGAAACCAAACCTATCGTGGATCGAAGGGACGCGAAAAAATTGAAAGGTCTTACCTCTAATTACTCAGACATATTGGTGAGGTAAGACGCTACAAGGCCAATTGGGATAAGTGGAGACGTGCATAGCTTGATTTTTATAAACACAGCTTATAATTACGAGGAATGCAAATTCTTGTGAGGTCTGTGAGCACCTCTTCCCCTTCCTCTGATGACTCGCACCTCGTTCAAGAGGGAAAAGTCCGACTTGTGTGCCGGCTTTTAAAAATTGCGAGTAGCCCAATTTCCAACTGTCTATCGTCCAGGTGAACATGAACAAACTGCGATTACATTTATTTAATTTGTTTCAGCTAGTTTAAATTTGAAAGAGCTGAAAACAACGTACTTCTTCATATCCACATCCCTGTCAAGTCTCCATAGATAATACTATCAAATTATCTTTTGGTCGATTTCCCTTAGTTTCGTTTCCAGGACTACTCTTGTCATTAGTAATTTTTTTCTTAGAAAATCGAGTTATCTTGGAATAAGAATGCTGGACGGACATGAAATTCCAGTTGTTCTAAGGGCTGATGACGATATCCACGCGAACCGGTTAACTCCGATGGATTATGTAGCACGTTTCGTTAAAACCTATCCGCTGGAAATCGTATTTCACCCTTTGATAAACTGGGTGCAAGTTGAAAATCATCGGTTGACACAAATAAAGTCTGGTTAACCCGTAATATGTTAGCAAAATAAAGCATTCAGATGACGACTAACTCATTTTGTCTCGGGTTTCCGTACAGAACACCTCTTCTCCTCATCCTTAATCAAAGGTTTATTTTTTATTTAGGGGAAACTGAATTAAAGTGTCCATTTTGCGATGAGTATCCATCCAAGGCACGCCAACAAAATGTTCAAAGGTTTTTTTTTCCTGCAAATCTGTTACTGTTTTTATTTTTTTTAGGGACGAAGCAGGAAACGATATCACTGATTTTGCAGTTCTGCGTGAGTTTTATGACAAAATTGAGCACAAAATTGAAGACTACAAAGTAAAATGGAAGGGCCAGCCAGACTTCTCCGCTCGTGTTGGTATGAAGAGGATGGGATGGTCAGCTGAACAACCGATAAAAAGCGTTATTGAATATTTCAACATCGATTTCGAGTTCGCGAGGCCTCCAGAAGTGGTTTCCTTTTACAACATGTTGGAGCGCGGAGAAGACTTCTTCATCTCTGATGGGCGAGGAATATGGTCCATGTACGAAGATCTTTATAAGCCATTGGAAGCGAAGACTTTGCTGGGCAAATTAGTCACAAAAATCAAGCATAATGCCGATTCCGTTGAAGTACAAACCTCCGATGGATGGAGTTACCAGGCAGATTATGCCCTTTGTACATTTAGCTCCGGAGTTCTGGCCAGCGACTTGGTTACTTTCGAGCCAGCCCTTCCTGATTGGAAAAAAGAGGCCATTCATAAAAATCCGATGTCGCCTTACACAAAAATTTTTCTAAAATTTCCAAAAAAGTTCTGGGATAATCACGAATATATTCTGTACGCTTCCAAAGAGCGCGGACGTTTCCCTGTGTGGCAGGATCTGTCAAGACCTGGGATCTTTCCCATTTCGAGTGGAATGTTACTGATCACCGTAACAGGGTCTGAAGGACGAAGGATTGAGGGACAATTATTTAATGAAACAAAGGCAGACATCATGGGAATGTTGAGAAAGATCTACGGGAATGGCATCCCTGAAGCGACAGGTGAAGGGCAATAATTCAGCTTTGCAGGGTTCCTTTTAACCACAAATCAACATATCATATCGTTCTTCTTAACGTAGTCAAAAGAAATATCGACAGATGGAGAGATAAATTGGCGATAGTTTCGATAAATGTTTATCTCTTCATTTGCCGGTAATTATCCCTACAGAAAGCAATACAATTAAGACACAAAATTGTGGCCTTTAAAACCTTGATTAAACCAGACTCAAAACAAGTAACAAAAGGCAAACCAATCGCAACGCCAAAAAGGACTGGCTCTAGCTAGTTTTATTCACTGCACCAAGATCTTCACCATCAGAGTCTGCAGGTCTCCCACATCATGATGCAAGTACTCTCTTTGACATGATTATTCAATATTTTCTTCAGATATTTATTATCGCCGCTGGTCAAAGGAGCCGCTGACGCAAGGCGCATATTCAGAACCAGTGGTAGGTATGACTTCAAAGGACTGGGAGAATATTGGAAAAAACTTAGGACGACTGTACTTTGCTGGCGAAGCGACGAGCGAAGACTGGTGCGGCTACATGCAGGGTGCCTACCTGACCGGCGACAAGAAAGGGAACCTGATCGCCGATAAAATCTCTCCACGTGAATCTTACAACAAAGGAAAGAGTGAGGCAACCCCCACCAGCCCCAGCAAACCGGGAAAACCAAAGAGCGAGGCAACCCTCGCCAAAGTGTCTTCAGTAGGAATCTTGTTGCTCCCTCTTTGGTTAATAACCATGTGGAAGTAAACAATGCATCAAGCCGGCAAGAGATTTGTTATTAGCCGTGATAGCCCCAGGGCAGCCCTTACTGACTGATAGAGTGACATTACTTTAACTTTAATGAAACATTCGTGTTGCATAGAGGACCCACTAGATGTAGTAGTGTACTCTGTGGGAGAATTTGTTAGCTTTTGCTTGTTATATATAGATAGCCATTGGCTAAAGTTACGTGCCCACGAGGGCAAGGTGCAGTAAAATTCGAAAGTAATTAAGCAGACAGTAAGCCGCTGTACTTATTACCCGCAGATAGTCCTGTACAAGTACTAACTGCTTTCGGCTAGATTTATTAACCACGAGTTCACTTTCACTCAGCATGTGATTATGTTACTAAACAAAGAGATTCTATGTTGCTGTGCTTTTGTTCAGTGAAGAATCACACATGACGTCAACATATGGCAAGAACAGAAAAGTAGTAAACGATGGGCAGGCGAGAGTGTCAGTGATGTTCTTTGAAAAAAAAAAAAGAAAAAAAGAAAAAAGCGCATGAACATTACTGGCATTAAATCTAAATCGATGGACAGGGGGGGTATGTCACTGATGCTCTTATCACATTTGACGTGATCTGTGATCTGTTACTGAACAACCCCACGGCAACACAGAATCTATTTGTTCATTATCTGATAAGAAAGTCAAAATGTCGTTAATGTAAACGTCACCTATGCGTCTGTCCAGCAATAGATCGTCGGTAAGAACCATTCGAAATGTGTGTATAATTCAGCTTGTAATAAATGTAGAATAATAAACGCCTTTTCCTATTCCATCACACAGGTTCATTTTACAAAATCCTTCCTATTAAAAAGTATGTGATAAACTAAGGGCTTAGCCAGGATTTTTCAAAGTGAGGGAGGGGGGGGTTCACTTGGTGTCAAACAGAGGGTACTCACCAGGTTGCTATGTCGACCCCAACACCGTGTTTTACTTAACGTGACAAAAAAGGCTTATAAAGGTGAGGGGGGGGGGAGGTCACAGGCACCTTAGGACCCCCCTCCTCAAGCCTCGCCCTTGATAAACTCGCCTCATTGATGCATTTTAAAGAGTCGATTTTGTTAGTTTCGAAACGCGTAACTTATGTACTTTTCTGTTATGTTTGTTCCGGTCTATTATTTCTTCGTTGGTTAATGATTATTACTTAATAAGTTTTTTATTTCAATCAGTTTCATTTAAGCACATGTACCAGATATTATATTTCATATTTCATCACTTTAAGTTGCTGTCGACACCACCAACTTTGTCTGCTATTCACGTACGATCTGCTATCGGCGATTTATCTACAATCATTAGGAGCTAGACCAAAGTAAGTTTTTCTTTATTTCACATTTAAGATATTTCCCTTTTTCCTTTGATACGTAAATCGATTTATTTTTCGCTTTCAGTTCACTTTATAATCGCTTCATTGTTAATCAGGCTAGTGTTACATTTCTCAGGGATGTTTTCTTAGTTTAGTTTCTGCTGCATTTTCTTTTAGTTCGAACCACACAAATTCAGCTACAACGTTACCATCAATCATAACTACGCTATCTTCAATCTTTACTTCGCCCTCTTCATCTGCGATTTCACACCGATCTCCTTATTCCGTTCGTACTTTTGATTACGTACTTCATTTGATTAAACCGTGATATATATTGTGCGTTCGGATTGTCTTCTCCGCTACACTAGTAACCTTCGAAGGTTACAGATTTATCATAATCCCCCATTATTTACTGAGTCTATGCTAGAGGAAGGGCAAAAAACAATTCCTGCGTCAAACTTGAAGAAAAAGCTCTTCCGAGACTCACCATTTTCTTCCTATTAAAAAGCCTGTGATAGATATATTCCTGCGTCAGACTTGAAGACGAAGTTCTCTCGAGGCTCACCGTTTTCTTCTCGGTAAACTATTCGCTTCTCAAATCAAATGTTGTTGAGGACAAATATCCGAGAATATTTTCGCGCCAAATGGAAGCTAAACGCAAATGATATTGCGATTTTCCCCTTTTTTACTCACGCCATTTTTCACCTGCGACAATTTACCCATGACGCCGGACCCACGAAGATATTGCTCTCTCAAAGCTTAAACATGCTAAGTTTTGCACTTACCTCGATCAGTGTCTTACATAATTTGCATAATTTCCAGAATGATCTGCATGAAAACATCACAAACTTAGAGAAGAAACTTTGAAGGATCGTGACGCGTCAAACTAAAGTAAGTAAATTGTGCTTTGCCCTTACTTAAATCTCTCTTCTCCTGAAAGAATTAAAATACTTATACGGATTTATATGCAAAAGCTAACGGACTTTGGGGTGGTTTCGCTGTTATGCGTTTAAAAACATCAAAGCGTAAATTCACAAAGTTCTAGACGTCTAGGTGGACGAAATCTTGTTGATCACTGAGTTCTGGATAAGAAGCTAAGTCGACAAATGTGGCTGGCTTGGGGGAACTCGAGGTCCTCTTGGGTGAGTGATGCTCTAATGTAAATCAAATGGAGGTCAATAAGTGACCACCTACAAAACATGTTTTGACTAAAAACACACCTAAGGTCGGTCAGTTCGTCCAGTGAAAAACTCAGGTGATGAATCAAACCCGCTACGGATGAGACTATTGTGAGTAAGGTACAAAAATGGTTGAAGCATTAACACAATCATACTATTTTCATGTTGTTATGCTTACGACAGAAAAACTATCTCGATAAGATCACGTAAAGGTCGGGGTCTTAGGTGGGTCAGTAACGAATGTGTTGAAATCAATGCTTTTGGGGTATATTTAGTTTTAACCTATAAAAGATTATGAGGAAGTTCCTCATGGAGTTACATATCAGTCTTACTTCCACTTTTCATTAGTTTGATATTAGCTGTTTATCGAAGTTTGCGAAAATCCAGAACAGTTAAAAATACATTTGCACTTGTTATGATTTCGGTTCTTTACGCATGGAGTACTCCTTCGCGCCATCATACTCGAGAGAGCAGCTTCGAAAAGCTTTAAAATACACTTTTAACCTAAAAAAAGATGTAGAGGAAGTTTCTGACGAAGTTACAGATCAGCCTTGCTTCCACTTTTCATGAGTTTGACATTAGCAGTTTATTGTTTTTTTAGAGGGCACGGTAACGAATCTTGCAATCTGATTGGTTCTTTACCCGGTCAGTATTTTCCTATCTCTGCCCACGGGCCACGGTAACGCTTTCGTGAGTCGCCGAATACATCCCAACTTTCGTTGTCATTTTTCATAAATATACCTCGTTTTCCGGCTGGGCAGTATTTTTAAGCAAACACGTCGGTCACTACCTCAAGCCGATAAATAACTTATGAATCCTCTCTTTTCTCTCTATCAAATCACTTTGGTTGACAGAAAAATATTGGTTTCAGAATGAATTTGTATAAACAATAGTGTCATTACGTTGGTTGACAAGCGGCCTAAAAACCGTCTGCAATTAATTTTAATCGTTAACAAAAAGTACCCAGAAAGTTGAAAAGGTGAGGTATTTGGTTACAGTTAAACTGAACGATGGAACTTTCATTCATTTAATATCTGAAGTTTCTCGAGCAATTTGTTCATAGTGAAAGAGCGAGCGAAGTTTTAATTTAAGTTCTACAACAAATATACGCTCCTGGTGAGTCTTTCCAATTCCGTTCAATTTGGACATTTGTACCTTAAATTGCACAACAGAAATTGAAGGAATTTTTTGAGAAAAGGCCGCATTACATTCCCTTGTGTCTCGTTGGAGTGTGCCGTTCGAATTTAGCTTTTTGCGAAGGAAAGATCAGAGTTAAACACGCCATTACAGCAAACAAACGAGCAAACTCTCACAACTTCAAAATAAAAAAATTGAATTTATTCACAATTACTTTCCTCGCCGTTTACTTAATGAACAGAGGTAAATCTTCGTACATGAATGAATGGTCGATGAGAGTGAATAATACTTTCCGTTAGATCATTAACTGATTTTGAAGAAAACATTGTCGTGACAGTCCTTGCCAAACTAGTTAGTTTTCAAATGTTCCTACGCTTTTTTTTTCTTGGCGCTCTCTAATTGACAGGTGTCAGATTGTGACAGATACTTGTAAAAATAATGTTTCAAAGTTTGTTTGGAAGCCTTTTAAATCACCTTTATCGTTACGGAAATGAAAATGTTTCGCTGAGGCATCTCTCTTAAATTTGCATCACCTCTATTTTAACTACCATTTACTCACTCAAAAATTGTTCAGTTTATGGAAGATCTTGCCGTATTTACGGCCATAAATCATTCGGGTTCTTTCGGAAAGAATTTCGTCAAGTTTAAAAACAATAAATATTGCCCCATTCACACCAAAGCTTAAACATGTTTAAAAGTTGTTTTGTTAAACACAGTTTAATTTTTTTTTCTTCATAGAAACTATTTAACCGAATATTTTTGACTTGAATGTAGCACATTGGAAATGCAAGTTAGCAAGTACTTGAATCCAATGGAAAATCAAGTTTTTCAGTTCTCTGTTTATAATTTTCATTCAATGAAAACCAGTTTAACAAAACATGTTTTGCTGGTGTGAATGGGGTATATGTTATTTACCGGCTAAGGGTCGGTCCGTATGGTGAAAAACTGTGACCTCGGTCTTGAAAATGCTGCCCTCGGCCTACGGCCTCGGGCAGTATTTTCAAGACCTCGGTCACAGTTTTTCACCATACGGACCTCCCAGCCGGCAAATAACATATTTATCGAAGTTTGTGAAAATTCAGAAAAGTTATTTTCATTTGTTATGGTTTCGGTTCTTTGCATGGAGTACTCATTCGCCCCATCACGCTCGAGAGAGCTTCTCGAAAAGCTTTAAAATGCGTCATGGTGATGGAAAAATGACTCTCCAAAAATTGATCAACTCTAGCGGGCGAAATTCGCTGAAATTTGGCGTGATACATGTCCTGTCCTACACATCATGCTCCCGGAATCCCGGCGTTTCATTTTTTTTCTTTTTTCTCATAGTCTGTCAGGAGTGGAAACATTTTGCCATAAGGACTCTCAACTTTAGAAGCCAATTAAGTTTTGACTTCTGCGCAGGACCCATTGTCAGGGATTGAGCAGGCATAAATTACTCGCTACGACTAAATGCCCGGCAGCCGGGCATGGTCTCAATTAGACTAAATGGCCCGCAGTCAGAAATTTTGACAGAATTTCCACCGAAACGTTCTTTCAAACTTCTTAAGAATATTAGATGTTTGATTAGAAAAGTCAAGAGATTCCAAACATGAATTTGCCTTTTTAATAGAGAAAACTTGTGCATACTGCAACACCGCTCAGTTGACGACTCTACGCCTCTGATCAAACTGCCGGGCTCGGTCTTGAGTAGACTTTATTCCCGACAGTCGGAAATTTTAATCAAAATGCCACTGAAAGGCTCTTTCAAACTTCGAAAGAGTATCAGATTTTTGTATAGAAATGTCCAGAATATAATTCACTTACTTTGTAAGCAAAATAAAGCACCAAATAGACAACGCTTAAGCAACCTCGTGACGCAGAGAAAATACATGTTACATTTTTTCCGGATAAGAGGATATTTCTCCAGTTTAATAATCTTCAGAAGCTAGTTATCCACTTCTGATTATTAATTTCTTTGTTCATCCACAGAATGTACATCATGTTTAAGATCATCCTGCTGGTGAGTTTTCTGTTTCTGGTGGACAGATCTTTGTCTTCACCAATAAAACAAAACAAAACTAAAGTCCTTATCCTTGGTGCCGGACTTGCTGGAATTAAAGCCGCGAAGACGCTACTGGACAGAAACATCACCGACATTCTAATTCTTGAGGGAAAGAATTACACTGGGGGCAGAATACATGCCATCGAGTTTGCAAACTACTCGATTGAAACGGGAGCGAACTGGATTCATTTCGTAAATGACGGAGAAACCAAACCTATCGTGGATCGAAGGGACGCAAAAAAAATGCAAGGTCTTACCTCTAATTACTCAGACATATTGGTGAGGTAAGACGATTGGAATAAGTGGAGATGTGCATAACTAGATTTCTTTGAAAGGGCTTATACACAGAAGGAGTACAAACTTCTTGTGAGGTCTCTAGGCACCTCTTCCCCTTCCTATGATAACTCGTAGCAGATAAAAGTCCGAAATGTGTGGCGGCTTTTAAAAATTGCAAGTAACACAGTTTCCATATGTTTACCGTCCAGGTGAACATGAACAAACTACGATTGCATTTATTTAATTTGCTTCAGCCATTTTAAATTTGAAAGAACTGACAACGTATTTAAGGGCGGATAACGCTATCCACAAGACTAGATAAATCCGATGGATTACGTGGCACGTTTTGTGAAAACCCTTTGATGAACTAGGTCCATGTTGAAAATAAACGGTCAACACAAATAAAGTCTGGCTAACCCGTAACATGTTAGCAAAATATAACATTCAGGTGACGACTAATTCATTTTGCCTCGGGTTTCCGTAGAATCGAATGGACACCTCTTTCCCTCATCCTAAATCAAGGGCTTACTGAGTTTTATCGAGGGGGAAACTGAATTCGAATATCCTTTTTGAGATGAGTATCCCTCCAAGGTACGCCAACAAAACTTTCAAAAGTTGTTGCTTTTGCAAACCTACAACTGTTTTTATTTTTTGTAGGGACGAAGCAGGAAACGATATCACTGATTTTGCAGTTCTGCGTGAGTTTTATGATAAAATCGAGCACAAAATTGAAGACTACCAACTAAAAAGGAAGGGCCAGCCAGACTTCCCTGCCCGTGTTGGTATGCAGATGATGGGATGGTCAGCTGAACAACCCATGAAAAGCGTTATTGAATATTTCAACTTCGATTTCCAGTTTGCAAAGTCTCCAGAAGTGGTTTCCTTTCACAACATGTTTGAGCGCGGAGAAGACTTTTTCATCGCTGATGGGCGAGGAGTATGGTCCATGTACGAAGATCTTTACAAGCCATTGGAAGCGAAGACTTTGCTGGGCAAATTAGTAAAAAAGATCAAGTATAATGCCGATTCCGTTGAAGTACAAACCTCCGATGGATGGAGTTACCAGGCAGATTATGCCCTTTGTACATTTAGCTCCGGAGTTCTGGCCAGCGACTTGGTTACTTTCGAGCCAGCCCTTCCTGATTGGAAAAAAAAAGCCATTTATAAAAACCCGATGTCGCCTTACACAAAAATTTTTCTAAAATTTCCAAAAAAGTTCTGGGATGATCACGAATATATCCTTTTCGCTTCCAAAGAGCGCGGATGTTTCCCTGTGTGGCAGGACCTGTCAAGACCTGGGATCTTTCCTGTTTCGAGTGGAATGTTGCTGATCACTGTGACAGGGGCTCAAGGACGAAGGATTGAGGGGCAATCATTTAATGAAACAAAGGCAGAGATCATGGGAATGTTGAGAGAGATCTACGGGAATGGCATCCCTGAAGCGACAGGTGAAGGGCAATAGTTCAGCTTTGCAGGGTTCCTTTTAACCACAAATCAACATATCATATTGTTCATTCTGAACTTAGTCGAAAGAAATATCATCAGGTGGAGAGATAAATTCGTGATAGTTTCAATAAATGTTTGTTTCCTCCTTTGCCGGTAATTATTCCTACAGAAAGCAATACAATTAAGACACGATATTGTGGGCTTGTAAAAACTTGATTATTACTAAACCAGACTCAAAACAAGTAACAAAAGACGAACCAATCGGAACGCCACCCAAAAAGACTAAGTTCTGGCTAGTCTTATTCACTGCACAAAGATATTTACCATTAGAGTCCGCGGGTCTCGCACATCATGATGCAAGTACTCTCTTTGACATAACTATTGTATATTTTCTTCAGATATCTATTGTCGGCGTTGGTCAAAGGAGCCACTGACGCAAGGTGCATATTCAGAACCTGTGGTGGGTATGACTTCTGAAGACTGGGAGAACATTGGAAAAAACCTGGGACGTCTGTACTTTGCTGGCGAAGCGACGAGCGAAGACTGGTACGGCTATATGCAAGGTGCTTACTGGACCGGTGACAAGAAAGGGAACATGATCGCTGAGAATATCTCTTCAAGTGAATCTTCCAGAAAACCGGGAGACCCAAAGAGTGAGGCAACCCCCGCCAAAGTGTCGTTAGTAGGAATATTGTTGCTCCCTCTTTGGTTTATAATCGTGTGGAAGTAAACAATTCATCAAGCCGGCAAGAGATTTGTTATTAGCCGTGATAGCTCTGGAGCAGCCCTTACAGACTGATAGAGTGGCAAAACTGTAACTTTGATGAAACATTTGTGTTGCATATAGGACCCTCTAGATGTAGGAACGTTCTATGTAGGAGAATTTGTCAGCTTTCGCCTGGTATATACAGATGGCCTTTGATTAAATTTACTTGCCCACGAGGGTAAGGTGCAGTAAAATTCGAAAGTAATTAAGCAGGCTTTGAATAGAGAATACTTCTTTTTTGTTGTTCGCCCCTGTACTTAATATCTGCAGATAGTCCTGTGCAAGTACTAACTGCTATCGGCTATATGTATTAATCACGAGTTCACTTTCACTTAGCTTTTGATTATGTTACTAAACAAAGAGATTCTATGTTGCTGTACTTCTGTTCAGTGAAGAATCCCACATGACGTCAACATATGGCAAGAACAGAAAAGTAGTAAACGATGGACAGGGGGGGTGTGTCATTGAGGCTCTTATCACATTTGACCTTATCCGTGATCTGTTACTGAACAGGCCCACGGTAACACAGAATCTATTTGTTTATTATATGATAAAAAAGTCAAAATGTCGTTAATGTAAACTTCACCTATGCGTCTGTCCAGCAATAGATCATCGGTAAGAACCATTCAAGATGTGTGTGTAATTCAGGTTGTCAGAAATGTAGAATAATAAACGCCTTTTCCTATTCCATCACACAGGTTCATTTTACAAAATCCATCCTATTAAAAAGTATGTGATAAACTAAGGGCTTAGCCAGGTTTTTTCAAAGTGAAGGGGAGGAGGTGGTCACATTGTGTCAAACAGAGGGTACTCGGGGGAAGTACGTCAAACTCGAAGAAAAAGTTCTCTCCAGGCTCGCCGTTTTCTTCTCGGTAAACTATTTCACTTCGTTAAATATTTTCGCGCCAAATGGAAGCTAAAATGCGAATTATATCGCGATTTTCCTCTTTTTTACTAACGCCATTTTTCGCCCGCGACAATTTGCCCGTCACGCCGGACCCACCAAAATAACGCTCTCCTAAACCTTAAACATGCTAAGTTTTGCATATACCTCGACAGGTGTTTCTTTTTTTTTAATTTATTTTAATTTTTTTATATTTTTTCTCTGCAATACATATATATCTAGACAATACATATATTACAATGCAATTACACCTGTCAAATTGAATTACAGTTGATCTATTTATTTTCACCTCGACAAGTGTTTCACGTAATTTGCATAATTTCCAGAAGGATCTGCATCAACACATCGCAAACTTAGAGGAGAAACTTTGAAAGATCGTGACGCGACAAACTAAAGTAAGTAAATTGTGCTTTACTCCTACTTAAATCTCTCGTCTCCTGAAAGAATTGAAATACTTATAAAGATTCATATGCAAAAGCTTACGGATTTTGGAATGGTTGTGCTGTTATGCTGTTTTGTTCTTAAGCTTACGACAGAAAAATTATCTCGATCAGCTCAAGTAAAGGTCGGCGTCTCTGGTGGATCAGAAATGAACGTATAGAGATCAATAATTTTGAGGTATATGCGCTTTTAACCTATAAAATGTAGAGGAAGTTTCTGATGGAGCTACAGATCAGCCTTACTTCCACTTTTCAGGAGTTTGATATTAGCTGTTTTATCGAAGTTTGTGAAATTCAGAACAGTTAAAAAAAATTAGCATTTGTTATGGTTTCGGTACTCATTCGCCCCATCACGCTTGAGAGAACTTTTCAAAAAGTTTTAATTAACAAATAAAGAATCCTTGACTGTGCTCTTTTCTATTGAAGCACGCAGGAAGCGGCTAGAGCACGAAAGAAGTATAGGGAGAAACACGAGACGTAGTCTTCTTGAGTGCTCAAGTGCTTTACAACAGAACAGAGCACAGTCAAGGCTTCTCTGTTTGTTTTATAACAAAGAATCCGTTAAATTCCCCAAGCATTACTTTCAATTTTCAAAACAAACTTTATTTCCGAAGCGAACAACAGCTACAACACCGCTCAGTTGACGACATTACGCCTCTGATCAAACTGCCGGGCTCAGTCATAAATAAACTAAATTCCCGACAGTCAGAAAAAAATGTCACTGAAAAGTTCTTTTAAACTTCGAAAGAGTATCAGATTTTTGTGTAGAAATGTCCAGAATATAATTAACATACTTTGTATGAATAATTTAAGCACCATATAGACAACGCTCAAACAACCTCGTGACGCAGACAAAATACATGCCACATTTTTTTCAGGAATTGAGATAAGGGAATGTTTCTTTAGTTTAATAATGCTCAGAAGCTAGTTATCCTTTTCTGATCATTAGTTTCTTTGCTGATCAACAGAATGTACATCATGTTTAAGGTCATCCTGCATCTGAGTTTTCTGTTTCTGGTGGACAGATCTTTGTCTTCACCAATAAAACAAAACAAAACTAAAGTTCTTATCCTTGGCGCCGGACTCGCTGGAATTAAAGCGGCGAAAACACTACTGGACAGAAACATCACCGACATTCTGATTCTTGAGGGAAAGAATTACACTGGGGGAAGAATACAAGCCATCGAGTTTGCAAACCACTCGATTGAAACGGGAGCGAACTGGATTCATTTCGTAAATGACGGAGAAACCAAACCTATCGTGGATCGAAGGGACGCAAAAAAAATGCAAGGTCTTACCTCTAATTACTCAGATATATTAGTGAGGTAAGACGCTACAAGGCCACTTGGGATAAGTGGAGATGTGAATAGCTAGATTTCTTTGAAAGGGATTATACACAGGAGGAGTACAAACCTCTTGTGAGGTCTCTGGACACCTCTTCCCCTTCCTCTAATAACTCGTAGCCGGTAAAAGTCCGAAATGTGTGGCGGCTTTTAAAAATTGCAAGTAGCACAGTTTCCATATGTTTACCGTCCAGGTAAACATGAACAAACTACGATACATTTATTTAATTAGCTTCAGCTATTTTAAATTTGAAAGAGCTGAAAACAACTCACTTCTTCACGACCATACCCCTTTCAAGTCTCCGTAGACCGTTCCATCAAATTATCTTTTAGTCAATTTCCCTTAATTTCGTTTCCAGGGCTACTCGTAATTTTTTTTTCTCAGAAAGCGACTTTAAAATCGAGTGGGAACAAGAATGCTGGAAATCAGGTCTCGGTTGTTCTAAGGGTGGATAACGCTATCCACAAGACCAGATAAATCCGAAGGATTATGGAGCACGTTATGTGAAAACCCTTTGATGAGCTGGGTCCATGTTGAAAATCATCGGTTAACACAAATGAAGTCTGGTTAACTCGTAACATGTTAGCAACATAGCAGGTGACGACTAATTCATTTTGCCTCAGGTTTCCGTGGAATCGAATGGACACCTCTTTCCCTCATCCTAAATCAAGGGTTTACTGATTTTTATCGAGGGGAAACTGAATTCGAATATCCATTTTGAGATGGGTATCCCTCCAAAGTACGCCAACAAAACGTTCAAAAGTTGTTGCTCTTGCAAACCTACAACTGTTTTTATTTTTTGCAGGGACGAAGCAGGAAATGATATCACTGATTTTGCAGTTCTGCGTGAGTTTTATGATAAAATCGAGCACAAAATTGAAGATTACAAACTAAAAAGGAAGGGCCAGCCAGACTTCCCCGCCCGTGTTGGTATGCAGATGATGGGATGGTCAGCTGAACAACCCATAAAAAGCGTTATTGAATATTTCAACTTCGATTTCGAGTTTGCAAGGTCTCCAGAAGTGGTTTCCTTTCACAAAATGTTTGAGCGCGGAGAAGACTTTTTCATCGCTGATAGGCGAGGAGTATGGTCCATGTACGAAGATCTTTACAAGCCATTGGAAGCGAAGACTTTGCTGGGCAAATTAGTCACAAAGATCAAGTATAATGCCGATTCCGTTGAAGTACAAACCTCCGATGGATGGAGTTACCAGGCAGATTATGCCCTTTGTACATTTAGCTCCGGAGTTCTGGCCAGCGACTTGGTTACTTTCGAGCCAGCCCTTCCTGATTGGAAAAAAGAGGCCATTTATAAAAACCCGATGTCGCCTTACACAAAAATTTTTCTAAAATTTCCAAAAAAGTTCTGGGATGATCACGAATATATCCTTTTCGCTTCCAAAGAGCGCGGACGTTTCCCTGTGTGGCAGGACCTGTCAAGACCTGGGATCTTTCCCGTTTCGAGTGGAATGTTGCTGATCACTGTGACAGGGGCTCAAGGACGAAGGATTGAGGGGCAATCATTTAATGAAACAAAGGCAGAGATCATGGGAATGTTGAGAGAGATCTACGGGAATGGCATCCCTGAAGCAACAGGTGAATGACCATAGTTCAGCTCTGCAGGGTTCCTTTTAACCACAAATCAACATATCATATTGTTCATTCTGAACTTAGTCGAAAGAAATATCATCAGGTGGAGAGATAAATTAGTGATAGTTTCAATAAATGTTTGTTTCCTCCTTTGCCGGTAATTATTCCTACAGAAAGCAATACAATTAAGACACGAAATTGTGGCCTTTAAAAACTTGATTCTCAAAAGAAGTAACAAAAGACGAACCAATCGGAACGCCACCCAAAAAGACTGAGCTCTGGCTAGTCTTATTCACTGCACAAAGATGTTTACCATTAGAGTCTGTGGGTCTCGCACATCATGATGCAAGTACTCTCTGACATTACTATTGTATATTTTCTTCAGATATCTATTATCGGCGTTGGTCAAAGGAGCCACTGACGCAAGGTGCATATGCAGAACCTGTGGTGGGTATGACTTCTGAAGACTGGGAGAACATTGGAAAAAACCTGGGACGTCTGTACTTTGCTGGCGAAGCGACGAGCGAAGACTGGTACGGCTATATGCAAGGTGCTTACTGGACCGGTAACAAGAAAGGGAACATGATCGCTGAGAATATCTCTCCAAGTGAATCTTCCAGAAAACCGGGAAACCCAAAGAGCGAGGCAACCCCCACCAAAGTGTCGTTAGTAGGAATATTGTTGCTCCCTCTTTGCGTTATAATCGTGTGGAAGTAAACAATTCATCAAGCCGGCAAGAGATTTGTTATTAGCCGTGATAGCCCTGGAGCAGCCCTTACTGGCTGATAGAGTGGCAAAACTGTAACTTTGATGAAACATTTGTGTTGCATATAGGACCCTCTAGATGTAGGAATGTTCTATGTAGGAGAATTTGTCAGCTTTCGCCTGGTATATATAGATGGCCTTTGACTAAATTTACTTGCCCACGAGGGAAAGGTGCAGTAAAATTCGAAAGTAATTAAGCAGGCTTTGAATAGAGAATACTTCTTTTTTGTGGTTCGCCCCTGTACTTATTACCTGCAGATAGTCCTGTGCAAGTACTAACTGCTCTCGGCTATATGTATTAATCACGAGTTCACTTTCACTCAGCCTCTGATTATGTTACTAAACAAAAAGATTCTATGTTGCTGTACTTCTGTTCAGTGAAGAATCCCACATGACGTCAACATATGGCAAGAACAGAAAAGTAGTAAACGATGGACAGGGGGGGTGTGTCATTGAGGCTCTTATCACATTTGACCTTATCCGTGATCTGTTACTGAACAGACCCACGGCAACACAAAATCTATTTGTTAATTATATGATAAAAAAGTCAAAATGTCGTTAATGTAAACGTCACCTATGCGTCTGTCCAGCAATAGATCA